ACTACATACATTTAGTTTATCTAATTTGTCTTCAAGGCTTCAGGGCTCTCTTACTGTGTCACAAGACACTCATAGCTAAGCTGACTTGGAACAGAAGATAGCTACAAAATGCTCTAAATGAAAAAAGTCCTGAGCCAGAGAAACCCTTCCGCAAGCTGCTCACTTTTTTGCCAGCAGATTCTAGCTCTCCTGATAAGTAGAAAAGGAAAAAGTTTACAGTTGGCTGAAAATGGCTCTTCTTGAATTCCCTCCTGAAGTCTTCATTTTAGAACCACTAATGCGAACAGTATCCAGAGTTTGCCATGTTTAGCAGCCTCTGGAAATGTGATCAAAGAACATTTATTATTTCCCAAAGTAGGATAAGTGTCATCGGCTAACTTGGTTGCATTTTTCTTCACTGTGTAGTGGAAGCATATTATCTTAATACGGCCCTTATTTAAGGATGCGTGCAGTACAGTTTTCATAGGACTCAATGTTAGGTACATACTCCTCCAGACAAACTCATTTGGTTCCATTCACTTGGTTATTTGAAATTTAAAATCTTTTCCTGGTTCTCTTCTTTTTCCTTCCTGCCCGTTTGCGTAAGACTAAATTGATGAATTGTAAAAATCTCTTTGGATGCTTTCTAATTTGTCTTTTTTGTTGTTGTCACCATTTTTAAAACTGTAGAATAACTTCTGTAAATTTTAAAGATTCACAAAACTTAGCAATGTATAAAAACAACACAAAAAAGGCTGAGGACATAGGTTGGTGGTAAAGTGCTTGTTTAGTATGTGTGAGGCCCTGGGTTAGACCCCAAGCACTATGAAGAAAAACAGTAATAAAATAAAATATCATAAAAGACAAACGCCAAAACTATTTTCAAAAGCCTTTTCATCTTAAGATAACCACTATCAACACTGGGGTTTTTGTGGACCTTATGTAAATGGGAAACATTTACATAAGTATGTTTCCAAGCAAACCAATGTTACAGCCGATGTGTTGCACAGATTGCTTTTCCACTTATTTATATATCATGATCATGCCAAAAAATACAGCCATGATTAAGGGTTGGCTAGTTTTCATTGAGGGGGTGTATCATCATTATTAGCGTCTGCAGATTACTTTTAATTTTAGAATTATAAATGTTCTCATTTTACTGTTTATGTCTTTTTATTATACTTCCTTAAAATTGGGTTTAAAAATTAACAATGAAATAAGTGGATGAATGAAACCTTAGACAATACCTAGAGCCTCCCCTGCGATTGGCTCCCGCCCGCGCCACCCATCATGAGTTCTCTGTGACACTGCTATTCCTGAGCTAAACAATCTTCTTCCCCATCTAGAACTCCAGCAAAATGAGCGAAACGCCTTCCACCAGCTTTTCCCTGATGCACCCGACTTCGTCTGAAGGTCAGGTTTGGGGTCCCCGCCATCTGAGCGTCACCCGTCCCGTCGTGGCCAAGCGGATCAGCTTTTACAAGAGCGGGGACCCGCAGTTCGGCGGCGTCCGGGTCGTGGTCAACCCTCGTTCCTTCAAGACCTTCGACGCCCTGCTGGACAACCTGTCCAGGAAGGTGCCCTTGCCCTTCGGGGTGCGGAACATCAGCACGCCTCGAGGAAGGCACAGCATCACGCGGCTGGAGGACCTGGAGGACGGCGAGTCGTACCTGTGCTCCCACAGCAAGAAGGTGCAGCCGGTGGACCTGGACAGGGCGCGCCGGCGCCCGCGGCCCTGGCTCAGCAGCCGCGCCCTCAGCGCACGCGCAGCGCGGCGCCCCGCCCCTGCCGCTCCCGGCATGCCCCGCGTGCCGCGGAGGCTGCTGGTCTTCAGGAATGGCGACCCGAGGAGCGGGCGCCCTGTGCTCCTCAGCAGGAAGGTCACTCAGAGCTTTGAGGCCTTTCTGCAGCACCTGACAGTGGTCATGCAGTACCCGGTGGCCAAGCTGTATGCCACCGATGGAAGGAAGGTGAGCCTTCCCGGTCTCCTCGTCAGAGCTCGGTTTGTGCCCTCAAGGGCTTCCTGGCGCGGGGGTGGGCGCAGGGTCCGCGCCGGCTGCTTCTGGGACGGGACTTGGCCGCAGCTGCAGACGTGGTGGGAGGCGTACACACTTTGGAATATGTTTTAGTTATGCCAGCAGACCAGCCGGTCTCTGCGATATATGGGCTTAATGCACATTTGTGTTTGCAGTTATTTGGTGTACGTCATTAGTGCCTAAGAAAGTGCTGGGCGACGGTCTCTTTCAAGCCTGGCAGGTTGTTAAATTGATTCAGTCAAAACGATGACATCATCACCAAGAACAAACCTTGCTCATGGAAGACCGTGATTCTTTGCTTTCTTCCAGGTTCCCACTCTCCAGGCAGTGATCCTGAGCGCTGGGGCAGTGGTGGCAGCAGGAAGGGAGCCATTTAAACCAGGAAATTATGACATCCAAAAGTGCTTGCTTCCTGCAAGATTGCCAGGGATCTCTCATCGTGTGCACCAGAAGGTGAACACTAAATCAGAAAATAGAAGGAGTAAGTCATTTATAAATATGTAAGATTCAGTTTTAATACTGATATTTTTACCTCAGGAAAAAAAATTATGCTTTAATGACCACATTTTTTTTTTTTTTTTTTTTTAAGAGCAGAATATATTTACTGGGGGTAAGAGAGCTCCTGTCCTCTGACCTAGGGAGGGACAGAAAGGAGGCCCGAGTGTGTTGTCTCTCTAAATGACCATTTTTATTAACACAGAAAGTATAGAGGATTAAAATATTCTAAAATGTAATTAGTTATTGCTGGAAGGAGTCATAAAGATTATCTAGTAATTTCTAAAGATTTTTCCATATCACTTAATAATTAACTATTTAAATTGCTAAGCTGTGCTGTCTGTGTTGGCTTTTTGTTTTCGTACAAAATACTTAGTGAAATCAAAATGCTAGAATTTTTGCTTCGCAGAAGAATTCCGTGCAGTCTGGTATTGCGGAATTTTGACCAGTATTCTTAAATTTTATTTATTTATTTATTTGAGAGAGAGAGAGAGAGAGAGAGAGAGAGAGAGGCCAGCTCAGCCCACCAGGGGGCGGGCTGGCTGGCATGTGGTGCTGGGGGATTGAACCGCGGTCCCTGATGCTTTTGCTAAGCTTGTTCTAAGTAGGTGCTTTAGACCACTGAGCCATCTCTCCAGCCCCTTTGACCAGTATTCTTAATTGAGGTCAGTGACATTGTGGAGTATATTTTTTGAAATCTACCTGTGTTTTATACCTTCTAAAGTTATTCATGTAAAAATCACAGGTCCTTAGACCCTTAATTTTATTTATTAAGATTTGGAGTAGGTCATGGTGGTGCATGCCTGTAATCTCAGCACTGGAGGAGGCTAAGCAGGAGGGTCACAAGTTTGAGTCCTGCTGGGAAAATTTAGCAAGACCTTGTCTCAAAAAACCAAAACCAAAACCAAACAAAAACAAAGGTAATGCAGCTGATTCATGCTGGTTAACAATAATTTAGGTCAGCGATCTTTTAGAGACAAGTGCCGAGACTGTAACCCAAAACCCCCTTATTTATTGCAAAGTGTCAACACTGCAATTCAACATGAACACTTAGCTGCTGGGTGATGCTGGGGTGGCTTAGCTCGTGAGCAGACACAGAGGGTTCTGCAGACCTGGTGCAGCACACGTGCCGTAGGTTTACCACTGCTGATGTAGGCTGTCATTTCCTTAGAATCTGGTAGCCAGGTGTGGCTTGGTCCTTCAGGTGGGGAAAGAAGAGGCCTTTTGGGCTGGGGAGATGGCTCAGTAGAATAAATGCTTCCCTGGCAAGCGCAAGGGCCTGAGTTCAATCCCCTGAGTTCAATCCCCGCAAAAAAAAAAAAAGTAGAGAAGAGGAGGCCTTTTGGCCCAAGAGTGTGGGGCTTTTGATTGCGTTCAGCATTTCCTGGGAAGCTTTAAGTCCTTTTGCTAAAATACTGACTTCCATATATAGTTGAATTCAGATTCTCCCTCTTTTTAGATATGGAATAATTTGCACTTTACAAAGTGTGAGTCTCCCTACATTATTGCTAACAATAAGCTCACTTTTTGTTGTTAAATTATGTCATGGCTGTACGCAATAGATAATTATTATTGTTCCTATATTGTAGGTATCAGGCTGTCAAACACATGAGTACATTATACATATGGTGGTGCTATATTTCACTATTATTTAGTAGTGTTTTTATTATTTTGTGTCTGATCTTTGATGACTTCAAGGAATCTGAGGACTTGTTAAATTTTACTTATAAAAGTTATGAATGACGGGCTAGCCAAATAGCTGTGCAGATTAAAGCACCTGCAAGCAGACACAGGGGCTGGGGGTTCAATCTCTGGGCCTGCCATACTGGCCCTGCCCCCAGGGGTGTGCTGAGATGGCAATTGAGACTGGGCATGGTAGCGTGTGCCTGTAATCCCAGCTCTTGGGAGGCTGTAAACAGGGAGATCACTACGAGTCTGATCTAGTAGTGAGACCCTGAAGACCGTGTAGACCCTTCTCTATGATACAGAAGAAAAGAAGAAGTTATGAATGATTTTGATTTGCAATTTTAACAAAAGGATACCAAAAACAACAAAAGTACATTTAGATTTATACTGTGAAACATTAAAAATGATTAATTGGTGGTCAGCATGCACAAATCTATGAAAATGACTAATAAGAACTTCACTGAATTTAAGAAAGGTGTGCCAAGTTTAATGATAAGGCTGCACATTAAAATTAATACCCAGACCTATGCTTTTTTTGTTATGTAGTAAGTCAGACAAAGTGAATTCTAAATTATTTTTGAATTTATTCAGGTTTAAATATTCAAAATGTTCCTACTTTCATATAATTATAAATGTCCTTTATATACGCAGATAAAATACCATTGCATACTACTACTTGCTTTGTCTAAGTGGGTAAGCAGTACTTGCTTAGACTGTTCTAGTACTGGAAAGCAAACTAAAAAAGCCTACAAAAATCTTTTTATCAGTAGAATTGTTAATGTTTTCACTTTTTTATGTTTCTTGTTAAAACTATATTTAAAACTTTATTAAAATGGTTAAAATTCTGGAAATCATTGAAGTAGAGTTATAGGTTTCTCTTAAGAGAGTTCAAAGAACTATTTAAGGAACTATGGAAAATTTTCTGAAGCAGCCATTGAATACATAGAGTTTAGAAAATTATCAGTAACATTGTATTGTGAAACGCAGAGATATGGTACTTTTGTGCTAATTCTTTTCTTTTCTTCTTCTTTTTTTTTTTTTTTCCCTTGCTGCCTCTTTCATTGGATATTTGTTACGTCTCCCTCTTCCACTTGTATTTTGATCTGGGCGTCTTATACTCTTAAAACCTTGAAAGTGAGCACGCATATACCCTTAATCCCAAGATCTCAGATTTATTCTGTTTCTTCTGATAAAACACATGAGTGCTACTCAGACTATTCTTTTGCGCCTGAAAATTACTTGAGCTTAGAAAAACGTGACTCTCAGAATTTATCAATATATCCTTCTGAAGATGATATTGAGAAAGCAGTTATTTTTAATCAAGATGGTACTATGACAGTTGAGATGAAAGTTCGATTCAGAATAAAAGAAAAGGAAACTATAAAGTGGACAACCACCATAGACAGAGCAGGTCTTTTAAATAATGATGAAAATAGTGAGATAAACAGTGGTCCGGGAAGAACGGAGAATGGATCAGGTAGTTTAAAGCTTGCAGCATGTTCATTGTCTGCAGATGTCCCGGGCAGTAATCAAGAGGGCAGTTTGGCAGAAGAAGTAAAAACTCCGATGACAGATCAAGATGCTGAAACTTGCAGTTCTGCCAGTTGGGAGACTGCTGCTGTGGACACAGATATCATTCCGGGAGCTCAGGCTCAAGTGAAGCATCATTTTTACAGGCCACCTACACCTGGACCAAGGAGGATGAGACAAAAGAAATCTGTGATTGAGAGTGTGACGTTAGTGTCTGAAACAGAAGTCCAAGAGAAACAGTTTTCCTATAGTGAAAAAAGAGAAGGTGTGGAAAACAAATCAGAATACCACATGTTTACACATTCTTGTAGTAAAATGTCGTCATTGTGTAACAAACCTGTACTTGTTCAGATCAATAACAATGAACAGATGGAGTCGCCTGTAGAAAGAATAAGGGAGAGCAAACTCCTCAGGTCAAGTGCAGTAAGCGCTGGTGTGATAGAAATTACACGTCAGAAGATGTTAAAGATGCCACATAATGATGGCTTGCCATCTGCTGTATCAGAGAGCTCAACTGAGGGGGAAGGTGTAGTTGATATTGTAATATCAGACAATAAAACTGATGTGGAAAACTTCAGAGCTTATGATAATCCAAATGGTAGGTTCCCTCCCGTTTCAGCAGAGGCAAGTCATTCTTCTCGTGACAACTCTGGCGCTGACAAAAGTGTTTCTGAGGCTCCAGCTTCAGTACAGTCCTTTCCAGTAAGCACAAGAATCGACAGACTAATTACTGAATTTGCACAGTGTGGTTTAACAGAATCTTCAGAAAATGGAACGCAGACTTTGGCATCTGCCAGCAAAAAGGAGAAATCACAGCAGCAGGTGATCACCTCTAGGTATCGGGTTGGGAAGACTGTAACCAAAAGAATCTCAAAGAAGAGTAAGAAAATAAACACTAGAGGTACACTTGCACGGGAAACCATACTGCGAGATTCAAACCGTTCCTTTAAAGGAAAGATCCTTCATGAGGAAAACCTGCATACAACTGGGGTGGTAGCTGAGTCAAATCATCTTAGTACCAAAAGTAATCTCAGTCCTACAGTTTCTAAGAGTTTCCTTAGACATAAATTAAATGATAGTCAGAATATTAAGGTTCAAAGATTTGTGGGCAAAATAAAATCTAGGCCACTAAAGAAAATAAGCTTAGGAGCCCCTAAAAAAAGAGAAATTAGTCAAGGAAATAAAATAGTTCCCCATTATGAATCTAAGTACCACGAAAGCACTTCAGAAAACCAAAGTTTATTTCATATGCTTAACTTCCCTGAGCAGAGATCAAAAGCATTTTCTGGGCCACAGACTCAAGCAGAAATGGTGTCCAGGAGTGTGAGAGGAATGGCAAAAATGAGCTTAGTGCCAAAATTTAATGATTCACATGTAACTTTAAAAACCCAGAAAAAACAAAAAGGGGATAAATTGAAATCAGGTGCTGCTATAAGTAAACAGTATGCTAAAACCAGGGTGACTTCTTCAGCTTCTGTGAAAAAAGCTGATTTTTCTGTGGATATGGCCCATCGTTCAGTAGATTATATACAGACATGGTTACAGAACATAAATTCATATCCAACTTTGGAACCTAGAAAGTTAGCTCCATTACACAAAAATAAAAGGAGTATGGTGAGTTATAACAAAAGTCTTCTAGGAAATGATGTCCATGGAGGTTCTGTAAAAGGAAACAAATTCGTTGTGGAAAATAGTGAGCACGTCGCTAAAAGTGCCAGTTTGACAGGAAATAATCTGTGTGAAGGAAGTGGTAAAATGTTTAATGGTGAAGAATTTAACAGAGATCTCTGTGAGAGCCAGGTTAGTGCTCTGAATGGTGCTTGCTTAGTTTCCTTGCAAGAATATTGCACTGTGTCACAGTCAGCTGTTAACGATCATACCACTGAAAGCCAGATGTCCTCTGAAAATTCCAGCCTGGAGGTGAGCCTTGTTTCCCATGAAGTAAACCTGCCTACAGAAGGGCCAAGTGTAGAGGCTGCCATTCAGGCAGATCCTGTAGGAGAGAATATTTCCAGAGACCTCTTTCCACTTCTGTTGCTTCAGCGTCTGCAAGCTTCAGTTCCCAGCAGTCCCAAGACTCAGAATGGAGTTGTTCAGACACCAGCATCACTTGTAGAGATCCCCTTCTCTTCTGTGATACGTACTTCATCCATTAATCTCCTCCTTGCTTGGCTCTTGGTGCTAAATCTAAAGGGAAGTATGAGTAGTTTCTTTCAGGGTGATGCTCATAAGATTACCAACAGTTCTTCAGAAATACTTGTGTTGTTGGAGGTGCTAAAGCACATTGCCATTGCAGAGAATGCTGATGACTTGAAGGCTGCTGTTGCCAGTTTAGTGGAGTCCACTACAAATTGTATTGAACCCAGTGAAAAAGAACAAGATATGGTTCCAGTAGGCCTTTCTGCAGCAGTCAGCACTCAGAGAGCGCCAGAGTGCAATAAAAATGAAAGAATGCAGAAAATCTCTTTGGATGGAGACTGTGCTGGCTGTGAGGCTTGTGGTTCTGAAGTTTGTGTTTTAGAGGTTTGCTCTCCATGTGAGATGTGCACTGTGAGTAAGACTGACCCTCCAAAAGACTTAGGCGAGCCAAGCAGTGCTTTCCCCTCTATTGTTGGTTGTGTCGTAGATGAGACCTCTATGAATATGAGTTGTTTCCTGGGAGAGGTCTGCTCATTTACTGATTCTGTGTGTTCTGATGAGACTTGCACTCCAAAGGAGAACTATGCTTCTGAGGTAGCTTGTCCACCTGCTAAGACCCATATTCCCATGAGTGTCTATAATACCACTGACTTTTTAAATTCCAGAGGAGACAGATATAGTGATAACTTGGAATTAGCTGAGGCATTCAAAAGAGTTGATGAAACTCAGAAAGACATAAATATCTTAGAAGACCTGGGGTGTAAAAATGACTTTAATACATCAGTGTCACAACAAAATGCCAATAATTTAAGCCCTGGTGGCATTTTTCTAAGTAAAAATGGTAAGGGATTTGATATGAAACACAGCTCTCTAGATCAATTAAAAAAGAGACAGGATAAAAATACATATCCATCATTCAATAGAGAAGAGTCAAGGACTTCTGAAGAACCGGGGTCAGTAACCAGTAGCCTGGCATCAAGTGACAGAAGTAACATTGCAGAACTGGAGTCTTTTGAAGAATTAGAAAATCAAGAGAGTGATGTCGGTACTACAGTGATAGAAGCAGGCAAACAAGCCACTGAAGAATTGCTCACAAAACAGCCAGAGGCTGGGAGAAATTGGAAATTGACAGACATATCTAGTAGAAATGTTACAGAAAAGCAAGGAAACAGTGGCATGATTTCTGATACAGTCAGGCAGGTGACACCACCATCATTGGTTTTTTGCTATGATTCTAATCAAAATACTGAAAAAGAGATTTCAGGAGAAAGTAAGGTGAGCGTTAAGATGATGGTGAAAAACATGGAAAAGGGAAGTTATTCAGAGTCTTCACATGATTTTAAAAAATGTTTTAAGAGTCCAGCGACTTCAGACTGGTCAGATTATAGACCAGACAGTGAGAGTGAGCAGCAGCGTGGAACATCCAGTGATGAGCACAGTGACAGTGACGACATTACCCAAGAGAGAGAATATAATAAGGGGTTTGTTAAAAGGGCAATAGAAAAGCTTTATGGCAAAGTAGAGATTGTTAAACCATCTTTTTTCCGTGGGTCTACACACAGATCTCAAGTTTGTCCTTACAGTACTGTAGACTTTCAGTGTGCAAGGAAAGCAATTTGTTACGATTCTGAAGGCCAGCCATTTGGGTCTTCTGAGCAGGTGTCTAGTACTTCACCTATGTTACAAAAATTCACGGATAAACAAAGAGCATGTGATATTAATGGTGTGAGGGACAGTTATCATGGAGAAGAAATTGTAGATCACAGTATAAGACAAAGTAATCGTGATAGTGTACTCAGCAATAAAGAGGAGGGAGTGCTGACTGACAAAGGCAAGTGGCTACTGAGAGAAAATCATCTGCTGAGGCTGTCGTCTGAGAATCCTGGCATGTACGGCACCGCAGACACCACATCAGTAGATACCCTGCTCGATAATAACAGTAATGAGGTACCATATTCACATTTTGGGAATTTGGCCCCAGGCCCAGCTATGGCTGAATTATCATCTTCAGAACTGGAGGAACTAACTCAACCCCTTGAACTGAAATGCAACTACTTTAACTTGCCTCACGGTAGTGACTCTGAGCCTTTCTGTGAGGACTTGCGAGATGTTCATGATGAGACCTGTGCCACAGAGAGTGTACCGCACCACCGCACCGAGGGCGCAAGTAGTCTGCAGTCGGAAAGAGCGTGCCCAGCTGTTCCTCATGCCTTTACGCCTGCTGCTAACAAAGTCCACCCTGTCACTGATGGTGCTGTTAAAAGCCAGCCATTGCCTGGCAGCAGCGTGACTCACAGTGCACTTCAGGAAGGGGACTCTTTGGACAAACTCTATGCTCTCTGTGGCCAACACTGTCCGATACTCACTGTTATTACCCAGCCTGTGAATGAAGAGAGCCGAGGGTTTGCTTATCGCAAAGATTCGGATATTGAAAATGTCTTGGGTTTCCATTTGTGGATGAAGGTACACCCACATTTGCTACTGTTAAATAAAAATGTGCTCAGGGGTAAGAACCATGGAGCAAGTATGAGAAGAAACTTTGTTGATCATGCCACTGGTGATTCATTTGATCAACTCTGTGTCAGCACCATGTTTGGCTTGACTGGTAAGAGAGAAAGACTCAAGCTAACTAATTTCTGGGACAGAGAGGAAGAAAGTAATTTAAAGAAATTTCAGTCATGTTTGAAGCAAAGGTTCTGTTTGAATTTCTTGTACATACTTCTGTTTGTTGTGGATGATGTGAACTCAAATACGGAAAACCCTGGCCGTTGGACAGGTGATATCTTTAAAACAGTGGATGAGAATAATGGCTTATTAGATAATGGATTCCAGAATTTAAGAACAAATCTCAAGCACGCAATACCAGAAAGTATCAGTTGTCATTTCTCCTTTGAAGTACTTAGTCAAACCTGTGTACTAGGTATTTGCCAAGTTGGAGCATTCGTAAGTATTTGCAAAAGAAGTATATTAGAAATACATTACATTTTTGAGGGTGAAAATATTTTTATTTGGGAAGAGGAAAGCCAATTACATGTTAATGATCTTGAAAGCAATAATGAACAAGATTTGTAATTTCAATATATATATTTTTTTAATTTCAGTATTAGCAAGCCTTTCTTACAATACATTTTTTTATAATAAGATGAAGCACTTGGGATAGACATTCATTAGATATGGGGCTGGGGAGATAGTTCAGTAGAATAAGTGCCTGCCAGGCAAGTGCAGGGTCCTGAGTTGAATCCCCAGTACAAACAAAACAAAACAAAAAAACGTTCTTTAGATAACTTCAAAGAATTTCTTCCTTTTTCAAAATGGGCTTATCCTAGAAAGCTTACCTTAGTATAAACAATTTGACTTTTGTCGTTCTTCTTTTCTTTTTAAATAATTACTCTGTGGATTTGTCCTGAAGGTATATAATTTTTTGTATCTGTAATTTTTAAATTTTTGCACAGGGCATCAAAAATATATCTTGGATAAGAATTAAATCTTTTTATATTGTCAATTTTGTATAAAATGTATATTCAGCATATTGGTGAATAAATGGAATAGATATAGCCTTAAAGTATTTCGTTTATTAGTTTGAAGTGTTGATTTGATAAAAAGATCATTCCCAAATGTGCCAAATGTGTTGAGTTCCCTCAGAACACCCATCTAATTAAAGTGCAACTATTTCCATGTGGCAGGAGTTACCATTTTCGCATGAAAAAAATACTTCACCACTAAGTTGCTTCTGCAGTATTCTGAGAAATTTTTATCTTTTAAACATTAATAAAATGTCAGGACTTCTGAAAAAGTAAACAACAACAAAAAACCGAAGGAAAAAAAATAAAGGAATTCTCTGAAGAAAAATGAAAAGAGATGAATTTTACCTGGAAAAGAAAAAGAATGAAGACTTGTGGCTTCAAACTTCTCTTGAAATGAGAAGAATTGCAATGAGAAAGTTGACAGATTCCTTTGTATCTTTATCTGCTGTAATAAAATACTTTATGTAAAAAGCATGTAATTTTCTAGAAGCATGTATTTGATTAGGCTGAATCATAAATTCCCAAGTAATTGTGTGTTGCTGGCATTAAGTAGGAAACACTTTAAGAAACCTTCTATCACATGACTGGATGATGGAAAGTGAGGAAATAAATCTTATAAACTTGGAAATCGAGCGTGTTGTCTAGACCTGACTCACAGTAGAATGTTCTCAGAGCAGCACACAAAGGTGCCAAAATGACATAACATGAGTGCTGCGTAATTCATGTAATCAATTACATAAAGAATAACTTTGGATTCAGTTTAGCACGAATCATAAATCCATGAAATTCAAGAATTGCTTCTTTACCAGGTAAAGAATATATAGAATATGCTTTTACACGTTGAATGGTGCCCTCTTGTAATCAGAATACAGCAGGTATAACACTGTAAGCTTCTGCGGTGAGCAGTGAGAGATTGTGAAATAAAAATGTGTTACTTTTGGAGAAATAACAAAGAATTAAAATTTATTTTGTGCTTATTGTATATGACAGATGGGTTACAGATTTTTTTTATTTTTAAATTTTTTTTTACAGATTTATTGTATGAAATACTTTCTCATAAAGATAGTGTGGTTGGTGTTATTACGCCTTTTCAATATAAGAACTTAGGTACATACATGACTTTAATCTGGTGTCTCATGGGTGCTATGTGAAGATTGAAGCCTCGTCTTTTGTCCAAAAAAATTGATACTCTTTTTACCACATATTTATTTTTCCCCTGAAGAAAGAGTAAAGTTTTTTTTTTTTAAATTAGAGCTTATTCCTTGATGCAGAGACAAGGAAATTCTTTTTAATTTGGAAGGAGTTTATATTTAGTTACACTCAGGGGCCTGGGGAGGTCAGAACCACCAGGAGGTTTCGCTGTAGCATATGCTTTTTGGCAGGAATACAGTATCCAGCAGTGTCCCAGGAGAGCTCTTACTATGTCCTGTCCTAGGTAATATTGGGAAAGAGAAGCTAGAACTGCAGTCCCGAGTCACTAATACATGAAGTACTTCATCTTACTGATGTGAACATGTTGGTGTACATTGACTTCTGACCACGTTTTCTTCATGTTTCATGCCACAACTAGAATGTTATTGGAGCCTTCTGAGCCCCTGGAAATGTGTAGTGCATGAAAAGGTAGCACTTCCAAGGCACTTAGTCTTCATTTTTCGTTCACTTTTGATGTGTACGTGTTGGGGGCTTGACAGATGTGCTGAGGGATCGCATTAAGCTTCTTGTGTTTTATAAAACAGCATTTCAGTCACCTATAAAATTGTGAATTTATTTTTCAAACATTCAAAGAATTTTTTGTTTTCACAAGACTTGTATTAAAAACACCTTGTGACACTGGAATTCAGGAGAAATGAAACGAGAGGAAATTTTAGAGTGCTGTAAAGACCTCACTTTTGTTCAGGGATGATGTACCAGCAGGCTGGGAAAGAAGTGTGCTTCTTGTAGCCTGGAAGTGCAGCTGGCCCTCGTCTTGGGATGGGCCACATCTGATGCCAGGCTCCAGTGGGTGGCCCGGACCACTGTGCAGCCTTGTGGCTGGGTCCGGCTGTGGTCTGCCGCGCAGCACTGAACTTCTGTCTGTGCCCACCAGGTGGCAGCAGTGCACAGGAGGCGCCAGGCACCCTCATCAGGAGGTGCACGGCCGCAGGGACCGCCTTTGGCTCTGCCGGGCACCCGGCTCTGCGGGGAAGATCTCCACTGTGTCTGCGTCCGTAGGTAGGAAACGCAATGTGTGGTAGTTTTGAGAATGAAAGGAAATGCAGTTAGTAGCAGGAATTGATGTTCAGAAGTGAAAAATTAAAAGCTAAAATGCCAATGATCACCTGCAAGCAGGTGCAGGGGCCCAGGGTTCAATCCCCAGGCCTGTTGTGCCCCCGGGGCGCCCTGAGACAGCAATTGAGACTGGGTGTGGTGTGCGCACCTGTAATCCCAGCTCTTGTGAGGCTATAAACAGAAGGATCACTGCGAGTCGGATCTAGTAGTGAGACCCTGAACACACTAGTAGTAGACCCTTCCCGCAAAAATACAAAAAAAAAAAGGTCTTTTTGAAGTAAAGCCGAGGTTGAGGAAGGTCAGAGCCATTAATAATTGGAACATTAATAGAATCTTAGTCATTATCTCAGTGGGTAGAGGTAATTTTTATATGACATTTTCATAGTTGACCTCTTTCAGGTAAACCACAACATGTGCCTTGTTAAAAGATTTATCAGAGTTTAAATGTTGAAGGTGTATCTTGTGTGGCGCCCTTTTTGTGGATCTCTGTTTCTAAGATGGGGCCACTATGAAGTTTTTCTGAGCGGTACCTTATCTATAGGGTTAGAAAATGGCTAGAGAGAATGTGCGTGAGATTCTTAGCACAGCCCTGGAACGCGGTGCTCATCACACTGTACCTGTTAAAACTCTGTAGGTATTAATGCCTTCGCTGTGTTTTTCAAAAGTCAGTGTTCGAGCCAGGCATGGTGTGAGGCACTCGGGAGGCAGAGGTCAGGAGGTTTGTTGCGAGATCAGGAGTAGCCTGGGCTACAAAGTGAGCTCAAGGCCAGCCTCAGCTGCATAGTGACACTGTCTCAAAAAGGCAGAGAACAAACAAATCCAAAAAACAAAACAAAAATACCCAAACCAAACAAAAACAAAAGTTAACATACAGTACAATCAACATTTATTCATTCAGTCCTTTATAAAGTAAAAGTCATTAACATTTTGAGTCCTGTTTGGTGCCAAATACTGCTCTGTGCTCCTTCTGTGTAAAGTCTCAGTTCTCCACTACATCTTCCAGGTGGGTGAGAGGATCCTCCCTGTAGCCACAGGGGACCAGAGCTCACAGTGAGCCCAGTGAAGAAGCACTTTCACTTTCATGTCTGTGTCTGAGCCTCATAAATGTCCCAGAGTTTGGTGGTTTGAGCTTCTGTGTGCAGCTCTGCCCTGAAAATGTGAAGTTCCTTTTCGTTTCTCGTTTGCTGAGGCTGAGAGGGGTCCTGTAACCCCCCAGGGTACATAGGAGGCACAGTTACTGCAATCTGGAGTCTTCCCCTACTGTACTCTTGTTTATTGAGATATTAAAGGATAAGTTTATTTTACTGAAAAAGTAAAACAATTTCATAGTAAGAGAATGACAATAGTTAATACATTGCATATTGTCTTCCTCGAAGCAGTTCCAAGACACAGGACATGGGCATGAATATCTTCCCCATCGATATCAACACGAACCTTCCTTTACAGCGAACCAAGAGACACGACCAGCGTGGCTTCCTTGCGTTTCTCCCTGGTCCATCCTTTCCCACGTCGCATTTCCCTTTTCCTTTTAAATAGTTACTTCCCATGTCACAGTATCTAAGTACATTCTAGTCCTTGTTTCCTCTTTCAGTTTCTCACACCAGGGAGACAGTGCAATGTTTACACCTGTGAGTCTCATTTACTGCAGTTGGGAGTGTGGTCTCAGGTTCACCCATCTGCCTCTAAAAGTCTCAACTGTATCCTTATGTCTGAGCAGTATTTGTATCCACTCCGCAGTGGATGGCACCATTACAGAGTGTGCTGCTGGCATTGGACGTCGCGCTCCATGTCCACAGCTCTGGAAGCGTCTGCCTCGGCTCACACTTTCGGCTCATGGTCGGCGGGGTCTGAGGTGGAGCAGGACGTCCAGGGACATGCGTGACAGAGGAAAAGGTGCTTGGCTCGGGCGGGCCAGGCAGGAGCGCGGGCGTGATCCCCTTCCAGGTTACTCCTGCAGCGTCTGCCCCTAGCTGCTGGCAGCTGCCCGCTGGTGGGTGGGCGGCCTGCTGAGAAGCACAGCGCCTCCGCTCCAATCACCTTCAGAACACGCAGGCATGTAGGGGGCGCTGTAGATCCAGCAGGAGCAGGCCGTGGACCTCTACACACCAATTTATATTTGTGTGGAAGAATAACTTCCATTATTATCCATTTTTAATAACACAGTATCGAAAGATGGTGAAAAGGTTACACATTTATTAATTTAAGATAGTGAAAAGCACAGGTGACCCCAAGAGGACGTACAACAAAGAATCACTGTTTTGTCCATTTCACTGTAACTCACAGTTTTTCCTCACGAAGATCTCATTCTTTCACGACTTAAGAACGGAGTTGTAAAAGAGACATTCCCATGCCATAGCATTTTGCGACTGAGAAAACCTTCTGTTGGACGTGGCCTGTACTTCGGCAT